GACAAGAAAAGCCTTTTCGAAAGTCGGTTCGAAGCAGCAGCGGAAAGTCTGCAGCGACATTTGATTCGGCGGAATCTATAAGGGAAGGCGGACTGAGGGCCAAAGCTCGTAAAGTATCCCAGGGATTGAAGAGTAAATTACGGAAAGTCTTTGGACGCAATAAGGAAGAGCCCGTCGTTATCCCCAACCAGCAGGTAGAGGCTATTGAAACTCATGTCCGAGAGTATGCTGGTCAATTATCACCAGATCATGAGTCGTTCCTCGATATTCCTAGACCCGATGAGGCCGCATTCGCTCATGTAGCGGCTCGGGTCCCATCATTACGTGCTATTGCTTCAAGTCAGAGACTCAGGTCGCAAAGTGGTAGTATTCGCAGCTTCCGAAGTGACAATAGTGACGAAAAGTCCAGAGTAACAAGCTGGACCAATAGTACGGCAAACAATACGGTCACGAGTCAAGGGTTACGTCCTCCACCCAGCAGAGATCAAAGACTTTCCATTATCAATGAATCAGGTACACATATTTCTAAAGGGGCCTTTCATCGCCCGAATGTAAAGAATCAACATCCGGCTTATCCTGCATTTCATCGCCCCGGTCATGCCCAACCAATTAGACCAGGAGGTGTAGACAGTGCCAGACTCTGCTCTGCTTTGATGAAGCGTCTCGACGAGAACAGCCCAGAAGCAATACTCGCAAAGTCAAAGAAAGCCAGTACCGAAACTCTTAGAGCTGAGAAAGTCCCTAGACGTAGTAGCTCCTTTACCAATCCTCTCTCGCAGTCCAAACCATGGATCCGACAAGTACCTCCGGACTGTGACCCGAGCAATCAATGTCAAAATCAATATCCTCAAGTATACCATTCAAATAATGTTGGTTTCACTGATAGGACTGAAGATCTTTTTGATCAGACAGTTGGCGGCGCGCATCAATTCAATTCTGCTGATTTACCGTTGTATGATAAGCAACTTCAAAACCAAGACGACGTGTTTTCATCACACCCAGAATCTAACCATGGCAGCTCCTTCGACCAGCGAGGTAATATACATAGCTCAAAGTCTGCACAGGGACGTGCCTTGGCCAATATCGATGCCCTATATTCCCCAGTGCAAGATCCATCAGGTCTCACTCCGCAGCAAGTTGCCCAGCGTGACGATCCTATAGTACCAAGCACAAAGGTTATCCGCGAGGCAAGGTCTGCATTCTTCGGAGGCTCAACCTTTAAAATAGTCAGAGTCGGAAATACAAGTCCATATCGTCGAGCACTGGCGGGAAGTGACAATTCTGCCATTGCCAGGGATGACTCCATGGCTAGAAGAGGGTCGCCGGTTCGAAGCATACTCCAAACAACAGCTCATAGTTTAGCCAAAGTGAGAACGGCGTCGGTAGATGATGATGCCTACAGTGAGAGTGTTTACTCTCGAAGTGTTGGCCGTAATCTTTCCGAGGCTATGAGTAGTGATTCCTCTGTACCACTCGCAAATGTACGAATGCCGTTATTACCTGTCGATAGCCCGAGTGCTGGCGGTGCTATCATTATCAATAGCACCACCTATCGTCCAACTCATCCCAAGCAACGAGGTGATGATTCCGGAGGCTCTATTGAATGGAAAAAATGGATGTCATCCGAGGTCGCGAGATTGGAGAGACCAGAAGGCAAGGATCGAGTCAGCGTTAGTAACATTGAACGTTCATTATCATCCACGCCAACGATGCCAAGTCCATATCACATTGCGCATAGGAGAGAATACGCTCAGATGGCTGATGATGATACGGATATTGCGCAGAAAAAGCTGCCTGTCGGCAAACAGCCGCTTGGTCTAGTTCAACAAAATCTTCTTTCAGGTAATGGTCAAGTTCTTCTAAAACCGATACTGAAAAATCGCTCCACGACATCTTTGCCTGAAAATGCACATGTCGACAATAATAAATCATTCGTCATTCCTCCTGCACCACCATTACCACCTCCTATTCCCCTTAGATCGACATTAAGACCAACGCAAAGCAAGACAAGTCTAAAAAGTACCTCGACTTCTCAATACGCACCAACCACTCCGGGTTCCGTCACTCAGACTCAGAATCATGGCGTAAATGGTCGCAATGTCTTGCAAAAACGCCTCTCGTCTGCAACCCTAAGAAGCGTACCAACAACCCCCAATCATGGTGCGGAAAACCAAAGCGCTAATCGCAATGTTCTTCATAAACGAAATGTCTCGAATGCAACATTGAGAAGCTCCAAGAGTATAAGAAGTGTTAAGAGTTTCGATACGAGTGCGAGTGCGAGTGCCAGTCAAGGTTGTAACACTAGTCCGGCGAAATTGGTCAAGAGATCTGGGAGACCGGTGTATAATTATACGCCGCAGAGTAGTCCGGGCACGGGGATTGGAGCGGCGGTTGAGAGACAATTTGGAAGTGCGGGGTTGGGAAGTGGAAATGGACCTGGAATTGGGAGGACGAGAGCAAGAGCAGGGGGGAGAGAAAATGAGAGGGTAGGAGGAACAGATGATGGTTATGGGGTTGAGGGCTGTGGTTTGATGGGTCCGAATGGTGGGTTAGGCGTGGATCAACAACAATTACAGTTGGGCAGTAAACAGATGGTGGATTTGTTTTTGAGTAGTAGACGAAGGAGAATTGCTAGTGTGGGGACTTTAGCGGGTGGCAGTATGAGTGAGGATGGGATTGGGGGAGTGAGAAATGTTAGTGGGATGGAGGGGAGTGGTGGGGTGTTTCTTTAGGGGTTGGTGGCGTATGGAATACATAGTGGCATGACTTATGATTTGGGTTACTCGGATAAGGATTAGGTATATACTTTTGGTTGGTGTACTGAGTGCTCGGATATATGGATACTTGGGTTGGACGGTTCTTGATTCTATTTCTTAGGGCGCGGGATTGAAGAGTAAGGCCCTTGCTTTCAAGGGGTTAAAACGGTATTGATTAATGCTGCATGACTTTTGTTTTTTTAATAGAGTATTTATAGTAATAGACTAATAGACTAATAGTATAGATATCCATTAGATTAATACAGTACTCGTAATTAGTGTATAGAATGAATTAGAATACTTGTTTTATGATCAGATGTTGATGGGATTGGAAGTAGATATCCCTGGCCATGCGAGTTTCTCTTCTTTTTTGTTGCCGGGGTCTAGATAATGGGTTGAGGGTATGGAAAAGGAGAGATGAGATAAGTTAAGTTAAGTATGAGGAATTGTGGTGATTGGGTATTGAGAAAAATGAGTTCGGTGATATGTTTGAGGGAAATGGAGATAGGGTATATTCCGTAGGCTGAGCATGAAGCCGTAGAGCGAGGAACTGTGTGAATACTATTCAGTTGCGCAAAATTATGGAGAATTGTAGATATGTACATGATGGCCCCTAGATGAAAGACTAATAAAAGGTAGAAAAGGGCGCAACTTTAACTTTGGGAAATACCATTGGTTATTGCACTTTGAACCTGAGCCGGAGCCAATATCAACATCAATCTATCCCGTTTTATAGTAAAGTATAAAGTATAAATTTAAATGGGTACTCGTACTGTCAGCTTGCTTGCTTATCTCTTGTGAAATTTGAAGGTGTTTGTATGTTTTTTTTTTGGTTATGGTGATGGGGTTTTGGGTTTTGCTTTTGAGATTTTATGTGTGTGTGTGTGTATGTATGTATATTGATTGTGGGGGTGTTGGGTTTCTTGTGGCTGGTTTTTGTATATGAATAGGGGATGGATGGATGAATATAGTTTCGCGCATGTAGATCCGGGACAAAGTGGTAGCAAGTTACGCATATACTATCGAATCGAAGGTAGTTGCAATGTCCAATGTTTAAAGGTTCTCCAAATCTGGCAATCAATGAAACTCGAGATAGTATTATGTATAGAATGGTGAGTATTCAACAATTTTATGCTTCGACTGACTATAGTAGGAGGATTGATTAGCATTTCAGAAAAAATTCCTCACGCGGTCGATGCTGAAGCGAATAACTTAGTTAAGCTAGCACTGAAAATTGGTGGCGGTTATATGGCGGCTGCGGGGGTCTTGCATCAATACTGTTTGAATATGCTATGGCAAGCATGGTACGAAAAGTATTGTGAGGACAAAGCCAAACCTTGGATAGATCGCCTATAGATATCACGATATTGCCCTTGGTGAGTTTTGTACATAGCGGTTGAGTTGGGGACCGGATGCTGACGAGTGTGGCAGATCACTGGAGCAGAGGATACTGACTAGTCATAGTTGACATGTGATGCAGACACTTGTGTCGTGTCATATGTCCGGGCGAAAGGACGTCCAACGTCCTTCCAGGATTTCAGATTGTAAATTCTTCTTGTCTGAAGCAATGGAATTATCATGATGAAAGAGTCCAAGGTTGAGCTAATGTCTTCAACTATTTACAGGCAACGTAAATGGAGTGAGTTCAATGGAGTGAAGCAAAGGGTTATTGAACACCAGTTATTCACTATCGAAAGTCATGGTATCGAACGATTTCCAGTGTTTAAAGACCTGGAAGTCACCATGAAGCGTAGGCCCATAGAACAGTTTGCGTGTTGTATATGGGGTCGAAAAGAGAAGTGAGGGCTGAGGAAGGGCTCCTCATAATGGACGAGTAAATGTTGTGTCTAATCGTGAACGGCGGACTTGGACTACAATTACCTCAGCTCTATGTTAAGGCTCCGATGAGATAACTCTATGAATTATTGCTGCGACTAGATTACCCCTCAGCACTTCGTACTGTTTGTGATTTGACATTGGATACGTATGCCCCTCATCTAAGATTCATGTTACCATTACCCTCTTCTACCAAGTTGCGCCATCTGAACTACTTTCTATATCAAAACAAGCACCGCCTACAATAATAATAATAGATGAGATGACCATTGACTATTGCATATCAAAGATCATTGTAGTCCTCTGCGAGGGTTATGGGTCCTCGCTAACCTCCTAAGTGGGGTTAATGCCACTCCTCTCCACAATCTCAATATATATTCAAAATTCACCTTTATCGTCAATAAACATGGTGAGATGGCCGAGTTGGTCTAAGGCGCCAGGTTAAGGTGTTAAACTATTAACAAACGGTTTTTCACAATCTCCTGGTCTAGTAATAGGCGTGGGTTCGAATCCCACTCTCATCAATATACTTTTTGAGTTTTTTGGAGGGGGGATTTTTGTTAGCGGAGTTCGATTTGTGCCCAGAAAAGATATTCAAAAGTTGATGATACTTTTCCTGTGTTTTTTTTTTTTCAGCAGTTTGCTACAAGGGACTGATATAGCTTGTGCCAGATAGAAGAAATTTTGATAAAAAGTGTTTTACCTAGCATCCCCTCCAGGGGAACCTATCGACTACTAAAATGGGCAAAAACATAGATTTCTAATATCGGATTCAAACCGATGATACTCAGGGTAACTCCCTACGTAGGTCTCGAACCTACAGCCTCAAGATCAATTCAAACGTAGATACTCTACTTAGAAGTCTTGCGCGCTACCATTGCGCCAGCAGGGAAATCTTAGGATTTTGTGTGATCGGGAATGCTTAAGTCTGTTTATACTCAAGTGAAACAAGTGGATCAAGAAAACAAGAGAAATGGAAAAGACCAAGAAATTCAATTAGATTCTTGGTTGTGTTGTGTTATCTGGGTTGAAGTGAAAATTTTTGATGAAAAAAAAAATAGACAACCGAGATGAAGGGGTTGAGCTGAGAGAACCCCACTATGTAGCTACGCCTTTTTTTAGTCCCACCAAATCCACAAACTTTATTTTACTTTTTTTCCAGTTTCAATTCTTTGGGCTGAGTATATATACTCAAAAATGGGCTCTCATACAAATAGGCCGGATGGTGTAGTTGGTTATCACGTGTCCTTAACAATTAAACACTGTTAAATACGGACAAGGTCCTGGGATCGTGCCCCAGTCTGGTCATCTGATGTGTCCAATGACATGCATTTTTGCTGTTTTGTTTGGTTTGACACTTGAGTCTGATGCATTAGTCGATCTTCTGCTCCTTTGGTACTTTTTCCTGACGAAACTTTGGAATCAATCAAGTGGTATATTTTTAAAGCTCATTATTGGAGGTATTTTGCTACGAGGAAAGTATGGGATGTTGGGATGTCGGTGTTTGTAGGTGGGGTCTGTGGGCCTTCATTTCAATTAAGTCACTGACTCTTCCTCCATCAGTGAGAATCTAGTTCTTCTGCTTTGCTGTACGTCCATTTCAGCTCTAGATTCTCGCCGGAGGTATCCTTTTGTTCAATTTCCTAGGTCGAGCGTGGCAAATACCCCTACAAAACAGAAGAAGGGGGAGGGAATGGAAAGTTCTGAATATATTCACTTTGGCATAGCTACATTAGCCGTTGGAACGTAGGAGGTATATCTATGCTGTGAAGAAAGAAAATATTTGAACAGGATTGGATGAAGAAGAAAGCGTTCTAGCATGTTGATCCTTTTACAGTAGCATTTGGATGGTGGAAGTGTGTTGCTATCTAACAAGTAGTAATTGAAGCAACTTGAGAGGACTGCAAGACGGGAGACTAACATATCAGGTTTATATTCGACCCTTTACCTTAACCACTTTTCTCCCGACCTTTCATTTTGCACATTTCCTCTCTTTTGAGGGTGTTCTGGAGAAGAGAATGTTGGAATTGATATTCCAAAGGAACCGAGTTTACAGAGAAATCGAGCTTGTGGGCCATAGGGTATTTGATGAGTTGTGGGAGCAGGAGAGTCGGACAATGAATTGTCGCAGTGTTGTCGTGCAAAGAACAGTAACATAGATAATGATGTTCGATTCCAATTCGTTTTGTAAGGCTAGAGAGCCTTAGCTACCCTGGAAAATAGCACCAAAGCTCTGAAAGCAGATTAAGGACCTTTAAACTCTTGCGCATGTTTACCTTCACGTAGACGTGATCATTAATCCTCGTTCACTTAAAAATCTAGAAATTTTGTTTCCCATTGACACACATATCTCTGCCAAGTGTATGAAAACGAGCCTCAATACATGAAGTCATCTCAATGGATAATATCAGAGTAAACAATGTGCATCCAATCTACTCAAAAATTGGTAGCTTCTCACCAAGATTTTCAGAGCTGTAAAGCCAAGCTTCATATTCAAGATCAACAACCTCGAAAACCTGTCCGAAGTATTAAGAGAGCCATGATTGGCATAGAGTATGGCATATTCGCAAACGTATAAGATATTATAAGCAGGCCGATAGTACTACGAATAGATTTCAAATATCAGAAATCGCTGGGACGATGGAATAGGAAGAATGCATTGGTTGGCTAGTTCAACTTTTCGTTGGACAGTAGTAACTTCTCGCCTGCTATCTCCGTAACTAAACAGCAATCTACGGCAATGAAGGGGGAATCGGGTCTTTAAAATTTTGTCATTCCTTCGTCCCGTCTTTAAAGGCTATTTTATCTGGCCGCAAATCCGTGGCGCGGGAAACATTACCAAGAATTTAGCTGATTTATAAATGCCGAATGTCAAAATTCCGAAAGCCTTGCGAATTTCAGAATACCGTCGACGGGACAATTCAATGCCGTGTCGTAGAGTACTTAAACAAGAGCCTGATTCAAAACCCATCGCCCTCCTTGAGCCTGAATCTTTCTGCATTGATAGTATTATGGAATTGCTGTTGGTTCCCGCACCAGGAAGTGGGGGCAGTTTCTCATTAGCTAATTCTTTGAGCAATTCGAAGTATATCCAGTAGATTTGGATATCTATATCTTCATTCAAGAAAAAGTCAAGCAGACCCCCAAATATGTCGCCTAGCTTATCACAACTTGATCTGAAGAACCCTTTATGCAGTGCCCTGTTATCCATATGAATCGCTGTTCAACGTACCTTATGCCGGTTCTTCACAGCATAGCCATTGATTGTTTGTATATCATTTCGATAGTGTTCCACAGCGATGTAAAAATTCGCAAATCTAACAGCCATGAAGAACTGCAAAACAGAAATTCCATGGTTTTGGAATCGAAAAGTCTATGTTTGAGCACCCTGTAACATTGTAACACTACCTTCCCGGTGTAGTAATGCATCAGAAGGCTGAAGGCTTACGCCATTGACTTGGGGATTTCGATAGCCCCATGATTAGTATCATGGAGAGAGTATCACGAAGAGGGGTTCTCGTCCAACCAGGGTCGTGCAAGTATCCGTCGTGAAAGAGCAGGTTCAGATAATGCACTTGCCCGTTGAAGCAGGACCTCTCATTTGGGAATCTCTCAGCTGGTTAGAAAAATGCGGGGCAACAAAGCAAACGCTCTCTCGGGGTCCTCGTACAGTGAAACGATAAAAACGTTGGGTAAGCGGTGTACGGCTATGGTATGTAGTGATCCCACCAACTTGATGAACCATTCGTGTCAGGCAACGTATCCATTGAGTGCCAATTCAATTTTATCATGATTAACAAAAACTTGGAATTCGGAGTGAAAAGTATCAAACACACTTGCGGTTGCGGCCACAGTATCTCCATACGCAAAAAAATATGCACTTCAATATTGGGCTATGCTGGAAAGGAAACTTGAACCGAGCGAAATGTCTAGAAATATCAAAATTAATAACGGAAGATGTGAAAGTAGATTCCGGATGCGCATACATTTACCAGACTAGTTCAGATGAAAGCAGGTGAAAAGCCTATCGAACCCTGGAGAATCTGCCACGATACTGCACGAGAACCTCGTCAAGGATCGATCCCATTGGACCCCTAACACAAATTAAGTGTTCAGACCGACCGTATGCTTATTTGATTTGATAGTTGATTCTCATCGTCGATGAAAACTTGTCCTTTTGTTCCTGAAATCTTGGAGGAGCAGGCAAGATATACATATTGAGTCAGGCATGACGTTAACATCGGTCGATATACATCGGAGATTTTATACAACCTGGAAGTTGTCCCTGCGTACCCTGTTACTCTTGGGGATGTTCAAAGCTCTCCCGCGGTTTTGAATTAAGACTCTGCTCTTAATGCATGTCACTCCTATTGTAAGGTATTGCTAGGGTAACCATATTAGGATGAACATTATTGGTGGAACTCTGTTCAATGTGCAGTACGCAGAGTATATGTATACCTTTACGGAGTACATATGGAAGCGGCAGTCCAAGTACCGTCCGCAAGGAAGAAAGGATAAGTTAATGATAAATAAGGTAATTACGGTTGATCCGGCTCGCTCCGTTATATCAATTAGGGGATTTATTATTAAAGTTACATAACTAAGCTAATTAGGGTCGGGATGGTTGGTTCATAACAGCCTTTTTTACTCCTCTTGGTTCTTACCATGCATGAGTGGCTTGTAAGGTTTGGCTTAAGCTTTGATTGGGGAACGTGCATGAAAACTTTTAAAAAATCAGCCCATTATATGAAATTCTCGTCAGTTATGGCATTTAAAAACTGCATCCTAACACATTTTGAGGTCGAAAATGTTTCTAAACCGCTTAATGTTCAATAACTTCCCTTGGAGAGAAGCCGAAGGCATGTGCATTGCCCCTCATACCTAGGTATACAAACTTTCGAATCAACCTATCAAAGACTTGCTCTCCTACACAAAAACTATACACAGATGATCAGACACGGTTTCATTATGGGATCTCGATGACATTCGGGGAGCTTTGCGGACTTGGGAAATATTATACGGGATTGGGTCCGGCAAGTAATATTGTTGTATGCGTGCGTCTAATTCCGAAATATCCAAGCAAATCAATCATGAATTTCCCAATTTGATGATTGATCACTCTTGTGCTTGCTTAGGAGCTTGGGAAGCTTGATATTGATGCATGAATGCAGAGTTCTTGTCGAATCATGTTGGTGCTGTATGAACTTGGATGCATTCCTTTCTACTACTATTTTGGTACTACTATATTATTCTACTAATCCATAAAGCTGTTTCTTTATTTCCATCTATTGCCCTGCCAATACATTTAGTTCCAGCAGTGCCCAGTTGTTTCTCTGTTGCATCTCTCAAATTATTCTTACATTTTTTTTTCCTTTCAACCTTGCCGGAGTCCCCCGCCTATGTTCAGTCAACAAAATTAAGGTCTGGAATTGGCTTCAATCCCCACAATTCATTCTAACATCACATCATACAAATCGTGATACTCGTATGATAACGAAGATGAACCGGTACTGAGGCTTGAAAGTCTGGAAACGTCTTCTTACCACATGGTCATTCCGGGAAATTGATTCCTTCCGAATTTTATATTGAGTTTGGGAGGCATTACCCCCTCTATGAATTTATTTAAAGGTCCATACCCCAAATACAACCAACATTTCAAGCCACAGCAAGATAGATCATAAATATATCAACCCATCAAAATTCGAAGACTTTACTCGAATTCAAGTTACATCATCCATATTATCAAATACCTTTCCATCACTTTCTTTGTCGGGCTTTGTATCAACAGCAACCTCGGCATTCCCTCATCAACACAGCATTCATATATTCTTTCAGAGCTCCAACTCAACTATAATATCTTTCAAGGAGTAAGCTTCGACTTACCCCAAAATC